ACACATTTCATGAGGTTGGGGAAATACAGGGCTCATTCTCCATCGTACTCCAAACACCTAATCAAAAGGTGACATCCGGATTCCAGGGGATGTTCAATAGGTAAGTGCTGGGTATTCTATCCACAAGAAACATATCTAAAAATCAAAGTTAAAAGTCAAATCAAGGTAAGAGATGCACTAGGAAAAGATAAACCAGAATAGCAGAAGTAACTCTGCACAATAAAAAAAGATAAACAAGAATAAATAAGGCTTTCAAAGATAAAAAAAGATATATAACCTACCACATTAACTATTTAGAACTATATAATCTAGCTGGGTGCGGTGGTACATGGCTGCCAGCCCAGCACTCTTGGAGGCTGAAGACCGAAGGATCCCAAACTCTAGCCAGTCTGGACAATTTAGTAACTCAGAGAGACTATGTCTCAAATTTTTCAAAAAATTTAAAATAAAATGCCCGGGGATGCAGTTTAGTGCAAAGGCCCTGGCTTCAGTGCTTAGCACCACAAGAATATAATTAATTAAACCTATCACATTATTTAAAGAATAAAATATTTGGTCATTTCAACAAATGAAGAAAAAAATATTTGATGAAATAGAGTATTCACTCATGATCGAATCCAGTCAACCAGGAACAGAAAGCAGCCTTTTCAGTCTGATACAGGATTTCTTCAATATGTTTTTAGAAAAAATCATTTTTCATAATTTATTGTTGGAATCTTTCTTTTTAAATTCACCTACAAAATGATTTGCCTGCCATCACTGGGGTAAAAATATTTAAATAACATTCAACCACTGTGGTAATATCTAAAAGTAGAAGCATTAAAACGAGGGGAGGAGAAGCTTGTCATTGCTCACTAAGACAAATATTTTCATGGTAAATCCAAAGATTCTGTCTTTAAAGAATTATTATATACCAGTTTAGGAAGCTGCCTATTTAGTAGGCCAAAAAATAATGGTTTACTGCAGTTCTTTACAAAGAATATACACAGTCCCTCAGAACTTGCCTTAATGTGATTTCAGCTACTAATACGCTCTCCTTTCTCGTTTGTACACAACTGACCAAAAGCAGAGACCTATGAAAGCCCTCCAGCTGTTCTCATCCAAGTCAGAGGGAAGGCTGTGGGCATAGGGTCATTAATTTTGTTGAGGAGAGAACTAAGGTAAAAGAGAATCATTATATTTCCTAAAGATGGATGTGTTCTGCAGAAGGAAAATGAGAACCCAATGCCACTACATTTAATTTTCCTGCCTCTTTTTACAAATAACCCAGATTTGAAATATTAATACTTCCCATGATACTGAAAGCTGCACAAGAAATTATCAAGGAAGGAAGACTAAGGAGAAAAAAAAGCCATGCACAGAAACATCTCTGAAATGCACAGGTAGAATTTTGTTTTGAAGTTTCCCCCACAGAAATCTTATTTGCAGATTCTCAACCTGAAATTATTTTGAAATGTTTTATATTATTTAAAAAATATAATCGTTCCTTTCTAGGTTAGACGTTTAACTTGTTGGAATCTTCAATGGAGCATTTATCAAAGTCCCTTTGGCATCAGTTTCCATACAATGGAATTTAGTCACAGTATGTACACATATATTGCTTTTTCCTTCGGTTTAATTAGTCACTATGAAATAACTCTACCAAGACTCTGGGTAAGGATGTGCACTTTCACCACTTTGGGGTTTATTCAGGAAGTGCTGGAGTTGAGACCTGCAACGTTCCTCAAAGTTCACTCAGTTGCAGGTCTATTCTCCAGCTCTTAATGCTATTGAGAGAAAAGAGACATTTTTAGAGAGACAAGATTTAGTGCAAGATCTTCTGGTCATTGGGGTGAGACTTTGAAGGAGATGGTGGGGACCTAGCCCTTTCCCTTACCTCTTTCTCTTTCACTTCTTGCCCATGAAGTGAGGGATTTTTCTTGCTATGAAGAAGCAATTGAAGAGCAGAAGTAGAAGAAAGGTAAAGGAAAACGATAAAGGTAAATAAAATCAGAATAAAGGCTATAGAGGGTTTGCATGCCACAATTCATTCAGAAAGTGAAACTTTTGGAGACTCCACAGATAGATTTTAAATTAGAAGGATCATCCCCAAGAGGCCCAGGGAGCCTAGATAACACCTTGAGTTTGTATTTCTAGCCTTAAGAGACTGGTGAAACCATAGCTTTAACTCCTTAACCCACCTAGTGTGTGGCTAATTTTAATAGCAGCTCTGGGAAACAAAAGAGCTATCACAGGGTTATGGGCTGAATTGTACCCATGCCCCCATCTCCCTGTCATCACCCTTAATACCTCAAAAGGCGATGTGTTTGGAGATAAGATTGTTATAGAGCTTATTAGATACAAATGAGCCTGTTGGTGTGAGCTTTAATCTAAACTCACTAGTGTCCTAATACAAAGAAACTTTGAGCACAAAGTAGAACCCCCCCAGGGGCTATGTATGCAGGAGAAAGAGCATGGGAAGGCATAAGAAGCAGATAGTCTTCTTCAAACCAAGGAGAGAGACCTCAGGGAAACTAGACCAGTAACCTGTTGGTCTTTGACTTCTAGCCTGGGATCAAATATTTCTCATTTTTAAGCTGCCTAGTTACAGCACTTTATTACAACAGCCCTAGAAAACAAACATATACAGTACTACAAATAAAAAGAATAATACCTTGAAAGGACCTGGGGTGGAAAAAAATGAACAGGTTTGAGATTTAGAAAGAAGTTGGACTTAATACAATTTGATGAGTCATCCGATGTTGAGAAGGTTGCAGAGGAAAAGGTCTCTGATTTGGACTAAGTCATTGGTGGAGATTTCCATAGATGAAGAGCTGTAAAGGAAGGAAAAGGAAGACACAAACTTTTCTGTTAGATGTGCTGGGCACTGAGGGTGCGTGGGCTGGGTAAAAATTGCCGGTTAGCTATTGAAGACACCTATTTGGAGGGCAAATCAAGGAACAACTGAATCAAGAAATACAGCTTTCAGAATCATGATTCTACAGAAAGTCCAGGCAGTTGCCGATGGTGGGATGGTTCAGGAAAGCCTAGAGAGAAAGGAAAGAAGAAAACAGGATGTGAGGAATACCTAAGCAGAATTTAGACTGAGGAGGGCTGCCAGCCATGGAGGCGATGTAGAATGGGGTGAGAATGATGATTACGCTGTGACAGAGAAGATTCGCCAAGATTGGGAATCAAGAGTTCATTAGGCTCTCCACTACATATTGTTTTTGCACAGTAGTGGCAAAAGGTAGAGCTCAAAAAGTGGTTAGGGGATACATGAAAGAAAACGAGGGAGGCCAGGGATTTAGCTCCGTGGCACCTTGCCTGCTTTGCAAGCGCATGATCCTAAATTCAATCCCAGGTACCAGGAAGAAGGAGAAGTAGAAGGAGAAGGAGAAGGAGAAAAATAATGAGCACAGATGAATCAGAAACAACATGGATGTAATAGAATCACAGAGAATCTTACCAGTAAGACTTATTTACTTAAGGCTGCAGACAACCAAGTATGGTTTATTAGTGATAGAAAGGTGTTAGTTAGGATGAAGAAGAAATTAAATTAGTAGAGAAATGACCGAGGAGGTAGAAAAGTTTAGACATCAGAAATATAGGTAGTGCAATTCGCTTCATATAGGACAAGTGACCAGGAGCCCATAGGAGGGCAGAAAAGTGAGTGACATGGGACAGGGACAGTCGTCAGAACAACACGAGGACGTTGGTGCATGAGGCCCCTGGAAACGGAGTGTCTTTTTTGCTCTGAAATAGAAGGGCGGGCCGTATGTTTCCGGTGACAGATAAACAGAGGGTCAGACAAAATGAGATTTGAGCAGATTCCGGGAGAATTTAACAGCTTTTATGGTGGAAAGGATAGAGCGCCACCTAGGGGCACAGAGACAGCCACCCTGGACTAGGTAGGAACCGATTCTTCGTGGGTCCAAACTTCCTTTGTGCAAAAGTTTCTCTAAGAAGGTGTAGCGGCTCAGAGCTAGAAGCTGGGAATCCAAATTGTGCTAGGGAGATCAGCAGCACAGTTAATATTTGAAGTATTTATGGAGTAACTAGTTTTGCCACACAGAGTGCCAGGACTGTTGAAAGGAGGGGAGAGTGAAGGTATATAATGAGAGCCCAGGACACTGAGCACATTTCCAGAAGTTTTGTGTGCGCTATTTAATCCTTCCGACAGTTCTGGGTATTGTCTCCTTCTTGCTGATGAGGCAACAGGACCAGAGAGACATGCAATTTAGCAGAATAGGAAAAATCATCCATATAACAGAAAAAGTGACAGACAAATAAGTCCTAGAGAAAGCTGAAGGACTGGTAGTACCGATTTCAGTGTGTCTCAGTGGAATGGGAAACTCTTCCGGTTAAATGGATTTCAGGAAGGAGAAATGAGGTTATTTTGCATTTGGGCCCCAATAGTTGAATCTCTTATTTTGCAGCTGCTGAGAAAGGATGGAAAGCTGTTGAACAGAGGCGGGTATCTTTAGAGCTTTCGTAGCCTCAGTACCATGGATCTAAAAACAGAAAACATTGGTCAAGGCGGGACCACTTATGAAGCCAAAGTTCACATCTACAAGAGGCCAGCGAGGAGAAATAGGATCGGGGAGCTGCTGCCGACTCCCCGTCTACCTCATTGTGCACGATGGAAAAAGTGTTTATCTTCCTTCGGACTCAGCTTGTCAACACAAAAGTCGAAGAGATTGGAAGAAATAACTTCTAAGGGCCCTTCTGAGGAATACAGTTTTTATGATTCTGAAGAGAAGAGATAGCAGTAGGCCAGGGTACTACAGGCCAGAGAGGAGAGGCACTTTTAGGGCTTTCTGAAACTTTGAACACAATACAAATGCAGATAAACCATTGTGCATGTACCCTCCACACACAACGCCTATCTCTGGGAGGAGAACTCACCACCAGATCTCCTCTGGTACCACACCCGGGCAGATGCACACAAGTACCCTACGAGTATCTCTTGATTCAATCTTTTTCTTTCACACTGTCTAGGGGAGGGTCTCATCACCTACCATTTGGGGCACTCAAGTTGTCACCTACTTCATCGCTTTTTCCCATTCATTCTCTATGTCCGTTGCTGAAAATTGTATCTCTCGTCACAAAACTCTGTTTTCGGTATTTTTCTCTTCATTTCCCTGATGGAACAGTGGAATCAGAGAGGAATGACTTAGGAGGACGAGCAACCTCTCAGAACTTCCTTTTTCTTCCCTCCCTCTCTTCTTTCCTTTTTGTCTTCATTTTTCCCAATTTTATTGATGTATAATTAACAAAGTTATGTACATTTAAAGTATACAATGAGATGTTTTGATATACATATTTTAATAAAAAAATTACTGAAATCAAGCTAGGTGACATTTTCATTGTTTCCCATAGTTGCTTTTCTTGGTGGTGATGTGAGCACTTACGCTTCCACTTTTAGCAACTTTTAAATGTAGGCAACAGGATAATTAACTTCAGTCTTCATGCTGTGCAACAGATCCTTGGGACTTAGCAGAATCCCTGATACTCTGTAGCTTTTCATCAATGTAAACGTGTTTCTGATTGCTTTAGTTTTCGGCTTGAACTCTTCAGTCTTCAGATTTCTAGAAAACAGTGTGGCAAAGTATAGGAACAATTCAATGAATGCTACCAAGATTTTTCATAGTCTGCTTTGGTCCAAGAATACATTTTGGAGAGAAATAGTTATACCATCCATCTTTTAGACAATATTTCAAGGGTGCTAATTCACTCAACAATGCATTCACTGAAAATTGATGGCAGTGGTTTGAAGTGCTACCTCTCAGTACAGCTCTGAAACAGGGACAGTGCAGTTTAGGGTTCTGATTAGGAGCAACTCTATATATTTCTGATCACCTAAAACAAGGGAAAGTTTACATATCATAAAGCAAACTGAGGAATCCACCTAGCATATTTAGCCACTATTGTTCTAGCTCAGTTTGCTCAAACCCTTAAAATTAGGTCTACATTTATTTTCCTTTGAATCAGATTTAGCTCCTCTCTAACAAAAATGCATAAATGAATGGGTATCCAAGGTTCAATGTTCTACACTATTAAATATGACTGGAAAAATTTTGAAGCAGGTGTAACTAATCACTCACCATAGCCATAAAAAAGAAATCACAATAGAGCCACTTCCTGGTGATCCCTCAGAGATAAATTAATTACAAAATTTACTTCCTTGGTAGCTGAAAGGCTTCACCCTTCCCATCAAATTGTGAAAGGTAAGCCAATTAAATATTGCGAGACTTCTACCACACAAAAAAAAAATGCTGTTGCTTTTAGAATCTTGGGGCATTGTTCCAAGAATAATTACAGCCTGTGACCAGTGGCTTTTAAGGTTGCCCTTCTTATGCAGCTACATAATCATGTATTGTCAGAGAAAAATCTTCATGTTTCTATTCTCTGTGATGGAAAGGCATGCAAGTGTTTCATCCAGAAATACATTGTCATTAATCTACAAATTTAAATGGAGCAAGGTGAGAAAACAAAATCCATCCTTGGTTTTTAGACTGCTTCAATTTTTCAGACAGAGGTCATTACTCTACAGCGGATCACGGTGCATCTGTAAGTTAGGGTTCATAGTAAATTTCTTTGATCTTGACCTGAATGTTTTTCTTTATTTTGTTTTTTTTAATTTAAATTTTATTAGCTAATCCCATTACAAAGTCTCAGTGGGATTTTTTTCCATATGAACCTATGAAATCGTATAACATGCTAATTACCTAATAAAAACTATGTTCTAGATTTTAAAATGTTTAATCAGATATTTAGTGTATAGAGTGAAAACATAATTGTTGCCTTGAGCATTTATCTACAGTTCTATGATCCATACTTTCTGTGATATGTGAAGTCAGAAACTAAGACATTTCTAACTTTCTCATCTTATATATTTAGAAATACTCTATTTTTCCCAAAATACCTTTGTCTTTGAATATCATAATGTGGTGATTAAAAGTACTTGTGCGTGCGTGTGTGTGTGTCTTGGGATGGAACTCAGGGCTTTTAATCTGAGCTATATCTCCAATTGTAGTCCTTATAAGTCACTTAGTTGCCCAGGCTGAGCTTGAACTAAGATCCTCCTGCTTCAGCCTTCCAGAGGTCTCAGATTATAGGCTTGGATCACCACATTTGATTTAAGGGTAGGTATTGGGAAGGCATAAGGTCCCAGTCAGACTTTTGTCTAAAACTTCCTAACTGTGATTTTCAGTGATTGTAGTTCACTACATCGCACTTTCACATTTTGCTAAAGTTCAAATAATATAATACTTACGTCATTGGTCCATTAGGATTATTCCATGAGATGATGCATGTAAAAAGTTTATTATAGAGCTTGGCATAAAATAAGTGTTTGACATCTATGGGATGACCACATTAGACAAATGAGTGAATGATTATAAAAAACCAATAGCTTCCCTTTTCATTCCCAGCCTTGTCATCTGTGCTCTGAATCAACACATCAAAACAGTAAAAGAGAGAAAAATTGCAAATGTTATAATGAATCACATGACCTTGTACATCACAGTGGAATGTTGGCAAAGGAAAATTGTGCATGCAAAATTCAATAATTCCCTCTCCATTAAGGGACACATTTCACAGATAAAAGTTTTCTAGTTAATATAATTTTTTTCTGTTCTTTCAAGATAGATTGGATACAATACCTGGAAATGTTACTTTAAACCAAGCAAGACACCTAGTAGTGCCCAAATCAAACAGAAGTCCACAAGATGAAGATACATTTGAAAAGGTTTTAACTTGAAATGTTAACTTTGTAAGTTTAATGATGGGTTTCAAGTGATGATGATGATATAATTCACTCAGTAATATGTAGTGACTATTTTCATTAATAACTATGTTTCAGTGTCTATTAGATGACCTACATAAGTTACTTCATTGACTCGTTAGGCCAGTCATGTAGAATGGGTTTTATAAACTTTTAACACTTTGAGAAATTATGAGACCCATGTGGGACCAGGAACTTCCTGATGGTGATGCCCAAATATTCCTCTATACTTTAGTTCATAAAATTAATGTAGCTCTCATTACAGTTTTACTGGGTTAGGTATTTTATAATATGTAGATGATTATACAGTAGATTCTCAGCCTTTTCACTTTGCAATGTAATCCTACAAGTAGACAAATATAATCTTTTTTTTTCTTCCGGTACCAGGGACCTAACTTGGGTCCTTGTGCTTGCAAGGCAGGAGGCAGAACCACTGAGCTAAATCCCTGGCCCTGACAAATGTAATCTTTACCACAATTCAATAAAATAGAAATTATTCTTCTTACCATTATATAAATAAGTAAACTGAGGCTAAAGAAGTTAATTAAATTTTCTCCAGGATTTACATGCATCAAATATAAAACTAAACTTAAATTAAACTCCTCTTTGTCAATGACCAGCTAAAGATAATTTAAAAAGTTGAATATTATTTACTCCTGTCAGATGGGAAAGTATAAGAATAGTACATCTCTCAAATGACCAGTGAGTTTGAGCATTTTTTCATATATTCATTTGCTTCTCTATCTGAGAAGCATCTATTCATTCCAGATGCCCTTTTTTTTGGATTGGGTCTTTACATTTGGGAGGGTCTGCTTTTTTTTCAGTTCTTTGTATATTTTAGATATTGGTCTTTTGTCTGAGAAATAGATGGAAAACATTATTTCCCACTCTGTTGGTTTTCTTTTTACTCTGTTGGTGATTTCTTTTGCTGTGATAAAGTTTTTAAATAAGATGACACCCCAGTTGTTGATTCTTTGTAATATTTGGAGTTTTGTTAATAAAGTCTTTGCCTAAACCTATGTCTTTGACTTGCATTTATTACGTCTTTGAGCAGATTTAATGTTTCTGTTTTAATATTTAGATCTTAACCCATTTTGTTTTTAGTTAGCGCATGGTGAGAGACATGGATCTAGTTTTAGTCTGTGGCATGTGGAAAGCCAGTTTTCCTAGCACTATTTTTTTTTCTTTTTCAGCTTTAATTGAGTTTATGGGTACATTTTAGGGATACAGTACAGTTACATTCATTGTTGGGATCTTGTACCTCTACATGACAAGTCTTGATTCTCATTTTTTCCCCTTACCTCTGCCCTCCCTTCTGTCTTCCAGTAAAGTTGTTTGGTTCCTTTGTCAAAGATGAGGTGGTTAAGTGTGTTTGGAGTTGTTTCTGCAAATTCTATTCTGTCCCATGGATCCTTGAGTCTGTTTTTTTTTTTTCCCCAGTATCATGATGGTTTTATCATACTAGCTTTGTAGTATAATTTCAAGTCAGAGATTGTGAAACCCCTGCCTTACCTTTGATGCCTAGAATTGCTTTTGATATTCTAGGTCTCTCCTGATTCCAAATGAATTTTAGTGCTGTTTTCCATAGTCCTATGTAGTATGCAATTGGTATTTCAATTGGGATTGCATTAAATCTCTATAACAATTTTGGGAGTATGGACATTTTCACAGTAGTGGTTCCCTCCTACCCATGAACAAGGGATATCTTTCCATTTTCTGATATCCTCTTTGATCTCTTTTTCAGAGTATTCCTTTTTCATCTCACTCCAGAATGTCTATTGTCATGAAATCAACCATAACAAATGCTGGTGGGACTGTGGGGAAAAAGGAACACTTCTTCTCTATTGGTGGGAGTTTAGACTGGTGTAACCACTATGGAAATCAGTGTGAAGATTCCTCAAAAAATTAGGAATAGAGGTTCCATTTGACCAAGCTATCCCCTTTCTCAGTATCTTCAAGAAAGTATTAAAAACGTCATTCCACAGAGATATATACTCATATATCAAAACAGCATAGTTTGTAATAGTTAAATGGAAACAACACAGATGCCCATCAACTGATGAATGGATAAAGAAGATGTGGGGTATTTTTACACAGTGGAGTACTACATGGCCATAAAGAAAGACAAACTTGAGATGTTTATAGCTGAAAGAATGCACCTAGAGATAATGTTCTTAAAGGAAATTAATCAGACACACAGGGGTAAGTACTGAATTATTTCTCTGGTGTGAGGAACCGAAAGTAGAAGTAAGGACCAAAATGTATCAGGAAGAAAACGTTCAAATGGGAAGGGGCACAAGAGAAAGGGAAGAGGGAAAGGAAGGAAAGGAAAGAAAACAAACGAGAAAAGAAAGATAAAATGGAAACAATGCTCTTGTAAATGAGGAGGAGAACAGAGGGAGAAAGGAGGGGAGGAAAATGGATAAAAACAGAATCAAGATGCATCATGCACAGATGAAACTTCCACAAGATGAATGTGATCATTATGTGCATCTAAACTGTATCAATAAACTTAATAATAAAAAAGAACAGTAGAGTAAGTAGTACCTGTGAAGTTGTTTGTAATCACCACTTTCACATATTTTGGTGGAGATATATGCTGGTAAAACCATTCTAGAGAGAATTTGCAAATGTTTCCCTTTTGATGGGACAGTGATGCTTTTTTGTGCCTTCTTGAAGTCGAAATGGACCCTGACTTCAC